ACGTGTAAAAATTTGGAATCGATTGGGTTATTAGTTTTTGAGTTACCGCCATTCGCAAAAGACAAAAACACGTTTAAAGTTTGAGAAGCCCTTTAGCCGTCACTTGATGCTGACACAATAAATCGGCTATATCTTCAAGAGTTCTTGAGATTTTCACTTAAAATTTTGTAGGGACATTCTTGAATCAGTGTAGATTCGAATTAAATCAAAAAAATGTTTGACCCCGAGAATGGGGGGGGTCCCCTTAAGTATATTTTGTGCATATCGGCCACATTTTGAGTTCTTGGTGCATCATTTATTCTATCCAAATCTGAACAAATCTCAACAAAACTCTGCACACTCTAGGTGTATATTAACTTCAGTACATTGTGCAGAAATTTGTGTCAATCGGCCTAACTTTGGGTCTTTTACATAAAATCGGACGAAAGTATATATGGGATCTATATCTAAATCTGAACTGACTCCTACAAAACTTGGCACACGTTAGGCTATACTAATTTCATTACGTTGTGCTAAATTTTGTAGCAAACGGTCTTACTTTGGGTCTTTGGTGCACCTTTTTCTTAAACAATAATTATGAATCGTTCGAGGTTTCATGTTGCGGCCAGGGTGTGCCGCTCGATGCACTTTACTATGCAAAAACCCTAAAAATTCCTTAAAATGACGAAACGTGCATAAGATTTTTTTGCGCATCAGATTTCAGTAATATTCAATGAAAATACACACAATAACACATATTTTAAAAGAATCGGTTAAGAACCGCCGATGTACCACCACAATCAATTTTGGATAAAATAGGCATATTATTCGCGTATCGATGTATTTTTGACCTATTTTTACACTGATTCCCGAATATGATAATCAGAGATGGTCCGTTAGAAACAGTGACGTAAATGACCTACATTTCCGACATATAATACATACGTCAGAAACGTCGGAAACCTACCCAAAACCATTAGGGTTTTGACAAAATAGTTATTTCCATTAATCAATTATGAAATTACGTATGCTTTACTCAAATCCATATAAAATTACAAAAATTTCTTCTCCAAAAAGTTTTGTTTGTTATATTGTTTATCAGTTCCAGTAAGGAATAGTCAGATATATATAAAAATGATATATATTCTACAAAATACCTATATATGGTAATGATATTCAAATAAACGACGTTTACTACATTTATTACATTTTATACACCTTTTTGACAGTCGAAAACCTAAAAATTCGTTGCACGGACCATCCCTGATGATAACAAAAGCATGAATGTATGTAAAACCAATTCTAAGAAAACCTCTTCAGTTTTTTTAACACTAGAAAGACTGGAATTTTGCATATATCTATATTGCCTGAAATCGGTCAAAATGACCTCATTCTGAAAGAATTTTTATTGTGTAAATAAATTTTTTTAAGCATATTTTTTAATATTTTTTTACATTATTTACAATCATACAAAACGTTGATATTATTTGTTTTCGGTGGGAAGGCTCTCGAGTTTCCCTTTTCGAAAAATAAAAGCGCGGACAAAATGTTCGAAAAAGAGTAAGTGTTTACTCTAAGAGTGAAATCGACTGGAAATATAACATTTATTTTTCCCGATTTGTGTGTTCATTTGTGTTTCTAGAGTAGCAAACGGTTATCGATGTTGGTATACTGAGAAATTTACTTTATACAATAACAAAATTAGTTTGATTATTTAATATTTCACAAGAGGTCAAAATGACCGATTTTAGACAATAGTGTTTGCAGTTTTTCCTACATTCAAGGTACCTATATCCGCCGTGGGGTATCCTTCAACTTAGTCACTGATTACATGTGCGTGCGTTGTGTAGATTAGCCACAAATCAGGAAAGAACACAAAAAAACTTGTTGGCTGCAACACATTTTCACCCATTTTTTCACATTACCACCACCACAGCTTCCACGCAACTTATTATTTATTACCAATATTCTAAGATTTTGACAAGAACACTTCATTTTATAGAAATGAATTTAAATTATATGCAATATGTTCATATTTCGCGAGTTATAAGCTTACAAACCTCAGTTTCAAGGAATTTAAAAGATTTTTGTAATTTCCCATATATTTAAATCCGAACGGATATAAACAAAACCGTACTAACTTCAATATGCAAAGTTTCGCCTCAATCAATTTAGTGCACCATTTACATAAACCCGGATGAATATATATATATATAGGGGCTATATCTCAGGGATGCGAAATGAAATTATTCAAATTGTACTGGCTTTCAATAAAAAGTTTACTTTTTTCAGTCCGATTGTACTTTTAATATATTTTTTTTATAAAATTTTTGTTGTTATTAACAATTAATAAAAACATACATAAACAAAATTAATTAAGATTTGAAGCAGTCGATGCATGTATTCTGTTCCTTTCTTTGGTTTTAATTATATTTTGATATGAAAATACCCTTTCCACATTTGTAGATGAATGTGGAATATATAATTACCCTCTAAGAATTTGTGATATATATGGAAACATATCTTCGTTTCGTTAATTTTTGACTTCAGTCACCATTGACCAATAAGTCGTTTTTGAAAGACTTAAAAATTTCTACAATGATTCTGGCATCCTCAGACTGCATTTCTAATTTGATATTGTTTATAATTTTTGTACATATTGCAAGAACAAAAATAACAGTAACCAGTTAGGAAGGTTCAAAAGTCGGACGATTCCCTTCGCCACTTTAGGTACATACAAGAGATGCTAAAATATAGATATTTGTACATATTAAAAAACATACACATACCATTCTGAATGAAATGAAAATGAAAAATTACATATCAAAAATGGCATGGCAGACTTGGATTCTTTGGTGTCTTTTGTTTTTAAACCGTTGCATACACCATTTGGTTTTTGCAACTTTAAGGGGACCCCCCATTCTCGGTTTCAAAAAATTTAGTTTTGTATTTTGATTTAATTTGAACATACACTAATTCAAGAATGTCCATATAAATTTCCAAGTGAAAATCTCAACAATTTTTTAAGATATAGCAGATTTATTGTGTTAGCATCAAGTGACGGCAAGAGGGCTTCTCAAACTTTAAACGCGATTTTCTCCAAACAGAGTTTTTAATACGCATGACTCAAAACTCAATTTAATACAATCTGCCAATAAATAAGTCAAAAGACTTGGCACACATCAGTCTAGACCTAATCCAGTACTCTGTGCAATTTGTTTTCTCAATCGGACAAATATTGGGATTTTGGTGTACCATTCACATAAAATCGGACGAAACTATATATGGGAGCTATATCTAAATCTGAACCGATTTTCCCCAATTTCAATAGGGTTCGTCCTTGGGCCAAATAAGTGACCTGTGCCAAATTTCATTCAAATCAGATAATAAATGCGACTTGTACTTTGTTCACAAAAATACATTGACGGGTGGACAGACGGGCGGACGGAAATTCATAAATCGACTCAAAAAGTGATTCTATGCATATTCTCAGAAAGAACCGTGGGTCTATTTCGAATCCTTTTACCTGTTACAAACATATGCTCAAAGACATAATACCCTGTATCACAGTGTGGTGAAGGATATAAAAATGGTTTGAAAATTCTGAAATAATAGAATTGAGCCTTAACTTTTGGGAATCAGCTTCGAAATCATTATTAAAATAATATTGAAGTGATTCCCACTGCGCCAAAATTGTTTCAATAACTTCTTGACGTGAAAGCCACCGAGTTGGTGAGTATTTATAAACAACAGAAATATCTGTACCGAAATATTCCTGAAACAATGAAAAATCATCTCTCTCATAGAACTGTTACAAAAATAATAATATCTTTACTGAATTTATCATTCTGATCGGAAATACTGAATTTACATAGGACACTACGGTTAAACTATGGCAAATTCATCCATTCGTAACGACAGCGGGGGATGGCGATCCATTTCATATTGTATGTTTAAGCACTTATAATACTTTTAACTGAGAATAGTTTGATATAATTTAGAAATAGTGGTAAATATGTCATTGGGGTGCTATTGTATTTTTGACTTCCAAATAGTGCTAAAACTAGTACAATTATGCCAACTTTTGCATCCCTGCTATATCTAAATCGGAACCAATTTTTATGAAACTTAGCACACATTATTATAGGCTCAATTCAGTTCCCTATGTCAAAATTCGTGGAAATCGAAAGAAACAAATGGGCTTTGGTGTATCATGTACATAAAATCGGATAAAAATATATATGGAGGCTATATCTAAATCTGAATCGATTCTTACAAAACTTAACAGATCTTGTTCTAAACTCAGTTGAATACGTTATACCAAATGTCGTCTCAATACGACAAACCTTCGAAGTTTGTGTTGTGTTACTATTTTTAATACTTGGCTTTTTATGTCAGCTAAGTAGATGACTGGTTTGCCTTTCCTATGTGATAGGGTCGCCATCTATTGTTACATAGAAACAACGTCTCCTTAAATTTTACGCAATGATTGGTGTCCTTGCTTTTTAGTGTTGTCATTTTTCTCCGGGTGGCGCTATTTCGTACAATTCATATTTTTTGAGAAATAGCAGGTTGGTTATTAGAAGGCCAGGGCCCAAGTTAGCTCAACGGCATAAAAAATAAATCCACACTATGTGAATGATTTTGTGATATGATGAGGTGCGATTTTAACCAAATTTTGTACAACCTAATACCAAGCCAGAAGATGGAGATATGGTTCCACTCCTTCTAATATCTCTCCCATAAGGTTCAAATGTTCAATAATTATAATTCTAATATAAGAGGAATGGAATTCCCGATTTGACCCAAACCATACACATCGTCGCATTTTTATCAACTGTAAATCATGTTCGAAAACGGAAGCCATCGATTTCGTATATCCCCAAAATGGGTCAAAATTTTGAAAATTGTTAATCCAATATTAAGCAAATATTTCTTCCAAAGTTAAATCATGTGTAGACTTTCTTCAAAATCTCATGGGGCAACCGATTTTAGTAAGAAATATTATATGAGTTACTTACCTCCTGGTAAAACTTGCAACTTAACTTCTTGCATACACATAAGGACATGCAGAATTCGGTTGGAGTAGATATCATGGATTCTGGCCACCAACACCTCAAATGTTTCAATGGCTTGCTTGCATCTTTCGTAGAATTTGCTCCAATTTTGATCTGTCCACTAGAAGGAAATCAATAACCATAAAACAAATCCTAGCCAAACCTCAATCACTACTTACATTAATGGTGGTTAATCCTGGTTTCAACATGGCCGTCAGGCGTACCAATTGAGGCAAGAACAAAGGTCGGACTTCCAATTTAACAGCCCTAACCGTGGTCAGGAACATTTTTATAAGGTTCTGAAAACCAAACCAAAATATTTGAACACAATTTAAAATATTTGTAAATAAAATATCTCCGCAATTTGTGCCTTACATTCAATGAATCCTGTATGGTTATAAAATAATCCTGGCGACTCATCAAAGTAGCGGCAACAATCGGAAGATCAACTTTAATTTTAGCCAAAAGTTTTGCTTCTCGAATCAACAACGGTATGGTAGGATGTAAATTCACAAAGATTCGATCACCCTGCAATGACAGCAATGGCTGCAAAAGGCAAGCATCTGCCACACTTACATCCTGATCCAACCATATGGCAATAATTTCATCTTCATATTCTCCCAATAAATTAGCGACATGATTGAAACGTATCTCCACATCACGAGTGGGAGGCAAAGCACCCAATACCGGATGATCACATACCGAATCGATTAACTCACGAATATGACAATGCAACGAACGACTCCAGTAAATACGTCCAGCAATGGGTGGAAAATTTCTTTGTACTGGAGGATCATCACGATGTTTGCGAAAGAGTTTGATAACACGTTCCACCTCCTTATCCACATAACGTACTATCCGCATATATTTCTCATCCATTTTGGTGAGAGGTATTTTCTCACTAACCTTCTCGAAGCGCACCAAAAAACGTATACACTGTGGAGTTTCCCAGACAGTATCAAAATTGGTCTCAATCAGTGTGGCTATGGTATCCTTGAGCACATCGGTTTTACTTATAAACTTTTCATAATCCTCATTAAATTCAGCATTACGATGATCCAAATAATCATATTTCTTCGAGAGAATTTCCTTTTTGGCCTCTTCAAAATGATTTGAGGCTTCCTCCAATGCTTCGGCCAAGAGTAGACCTTCCAAACGCCTCTCAAACAAATGATTATAGTCATCGATCAAATTAAACATGGAGGTTATCTTTGATAACCTCTCGCAGAACGTATCAAATTTTCCAAAAACAAAATTCTCCGAAAAACCAAATGGTGTTTGATTCGGTAGAAAGGGTTGCTCCCGTACGGTATAGTAGGTCTCGTGATAAATGTGATTTAACTTGATGCAATTACTCAGCTTGGTGCGAACTAAAGTGCGATCTTGTGTCCATATGGTTTCTTTGCAGCGGCAGGTGATATAAGATTTGCATGTTTCTATCATTTGATTGGTGATCTGTAAAAGAAAAAGGTAAAATATTACAATCAGGGACCGTGGCAGCTTTATGAATTAAAGGAATGAACGAGTGGAGTGGCCCCACGTCAATTTCAATTTAGGCATTTTGAAAGGTTCACCCAAATTTCCCCATCGAAGTGGCTATAAATTGTCATTCTGTGTTCTTAGAGGGTACGAAAATCGTTCCAGAAAATTTGTGATGTAGGTCCATGTTTTGACATAGCACTCATGTAAAGGCCCCGCTTTAATTATTGTTTTTTGAAGAGTTTACCAGAATTTTCTCACAGAAATGACTGTGATTTGACATTCCGGTTCATTGGGGGATGGGAAACGTCGTAGCAGAAAATGTTTAATACGTCCCGCCCGTTTTCGACATTTTGAAGGTTTTAGCTGTATTTTCCAACTGAAGTAGCTGTAATTTGGCATTTCTGTTTAATAGAGGTTGAAAAACGTCCTTGCCGAAAATTATAAGTCTATGTTTTGACATAGCATATAAAAATCCCGCCTCATTCAGTATTTTTAAAGTTTTTGACAGGGTTTCACCAACGAAGTGATTGTATTTTGGCTTTTCAGTTTAATCGTCATTGTAGAAAATGTTTAATATAGGTCCATATTTTCTCCATATAAAATTCCTCTTTTTTTGGTGAAGCTTTTTAGTCAGAATTCCTCACCGAAGTAGATGTAATATACCATAGCGGGTTCCTAGAGGCTGACCAAACGAATCGGCTGTAATTTGGCATTCTAGTTTTTGGTATGGGTCCACATTTTGACACAGCCCCATTTCCAGAGGCGGACTAGACTTGCGGGCAACAGAGCTATTTCCCGTAGAACTCCAAACAGATAGGGACTGGTCGTCCATAGACTAATATTATCAGGCTCTCTACAATGGAACAATCTCTGAACGGGGATAAGAATCAAATGTGACCACCAACATATTTCGACATTAGCAGACACCAAGTATTCCTTCCACCCCTCTCAACAATTGTTCTACAAGACTGCTAGTTCTACCATCTGCACGGTTTCCCAGGCGAAACTGCTGAGGATTTGCACTCTTGTCTTTAGTACAGACCTATTTCGCTTGAGCTAGGCTTCAGTGGCTCATACATTGAATGTATGGGGTAGCCGTCAAGTGTAGAACTATCGCCGATGAATAGCTGTACACCGAGTTATTTACCGGATACCAGACCACTTTTAGAAGGTAATAACCGCCTGGCAGTAGAGGATTTCAATGTCCGTCCTATGTAATGTCCAGAGGGGTACAGTCGAGCAAATTGATAGCTCAACATTTTGCACGGGTATGAGGTTCGCCAGACTTCACCATTTTGGCACCATTTATCAGGCATGATAAATGACGTAACCTGGCAACCCGTCATTTTGCTTGGCTCAAACCACCGTCCTATCATCGTCTCCTTCAATAGACCACCCGACTTTATAATCTCTGAACGCGGTATTTTCCTAAACCACGGGAAACCTGATTGGCCTGGTTTCAAAAAGTTCCCTAAGATCCCCGGGTATCCGTATAATCATCACCACTGCTGCAGCTCGCTTCGTACCAGCTGGTCGAATACCCGAAGACTAAACTTCCCAGCAGGGGCATCGTTACTGGCTAAAGAACCTAATGAGAACCTGATGAGCTCCGTCATACGACCCAAGAGTACCCTTGAAGTCAGCAGGATAGTATGCTAGAATCCTGGAAGAAAGGATGACAGGACGGCTGTCATATGTAACTGTGACAGACCCGAAGAGGTGTGCGTATTATTTTAACCGGCAATTCACTGAGCACCCCGAGAGTGACAAGTCGAAAAAGAGTATACTACGTAACATAAGGGCACTCCGAGCCGAGGAGGTGCCGCAGAAGGACGTTGCAAATGTCATAAAAAACGCTAAATCATCCAAAGCGTTGGGTCCGGAGGGAATATGCATGATAATGATTATGGAGCTGGATGAACACGGACTTGAGTATTTTACATCAGCCCTAAACTTGTCGATAAGCACCCACATAGTTTCTGAAGCCTGAAGTCAGGTTGGTCCCGCTACTGAAGCCAAGGATGATCGTTCACTCCTATCGCCAGTACGAAAGACACTTGAAGCGCTACTCCTTCAATCGCTGAGAAGCAGTTTTCCTGTTGCATTGACAGCATTACACTCCCTTTCCACACATATTATCAGCGGATTTAACTAGAACAGGCCGTGCAACCGAACAGCTATGATGGTACTTGACCTATCGAATACCTTCGATGCTGTCAACCATGTCGAGCTGTTCGAGGATATAGAAAAGATAAATCTCCGAGCGTGTTTGAGACGTTGTATTATCATCCATATGTGTGGACGCCAGTCGTATGTGGAATTCAGAAACTGGAAGTCCAAACCACCGGACGGCATTGAGATCATAATGTATGCGGATGATTGTATGATCATGGCGTCGGGTCCCATTGTTGATGAAATTTGTGAGAGGTTAAACTTCTACATAGCTGATCTCGTAAATTTCTTCCACCTGAGGAATATGAAAATATCCGCCACAAAATCAACAGCCACACTATTTACCACATGGACGACTGAAATGAAGCTATCGCTGAACATAATGGTCGATGGAGAGCTCATTCCGACCACAAACTACCCCAAGTTACTGGGAGTAACGTTCGATAGCCTTTTCTAGCCTTCTGCTCAAGCCACTGCTGTATGCGGTAAGTTGAGAAGTAGGAACAAAGTCCTCAAGTTGCTAACCAGCAGCATTTGAGGCGCTGACACAGAAACCTTCTTGACATCTTATAAAGCAATAGGCCGGTCAGTTGTAGTCTATGCGGCGCCAGTAATACGCAGTGGAAGAATATCCAGACCTGCCAGAATATAGCGTCAGGAGCACCGCTTGCCGTAGATTTATGGACAGAAGAGAGAGGTCCAAAATATAAGCGTGAACCTCTAGTTCAAGAAGCCTATCAAACAGGTCTGAATGACATTCACACAAACGCAGTCGCTCAGACAGTAGAGCAATATCGTGTAAATACCATAATCGGAGACCACTCCCATCTATCGCTGCAGAGGAGAAACAGTTGCCCAGACAAACACGAGTAGTCTTAGCTCAACTAAGATCTAAATAGTGCACTAGGACCAACAAGTTGCACCTCTTTAACTGCCCAGATAATCCGACCCATTCTAGTTGCCGCATTTTTGAATACTGATAAACTATCCCCCTTATGGTTAGATCTACAAAAATAAATTAGAACCATCTTAGACTTACTTTAACCATTAGTGCAGAAGTTCTTTCCGAAGTGTTGTAAAATTGTGAGACACTATAAATCAAGCGTACGGTTTGCAGGAGACTTAAAATGGATTCTTTCATGCAGACCTGAAAAAAAACAAACAAAAAATACACCATTACTCATTTTATTTTCAATAATTTAAACCCCGCCCCTTCAACTTACCGGATCATCTAAATACAACGAATGACAACAATGTTCCATTGCCTGGATAAATTTCGAATTATCCCTTGCTTCGTTGTAACAAAACGTTATCTTACGATCAGTTTCCTTCCAATCCCGTATTACCTTCGAATTGGCCAAAAGCAAACAATGCAAAGTATATTGGACCTCCTTTGTTTGCAAATGGGCCAACAATTGTGAAAATTGTGCACCACGTTTCTTCCAATATTCCAATTCATCTTGTGGACCACTTGAATCATTCTCTTTACGCAATTGATCCGATTCTCCTAATATCTTCGTAATACCTTTAATCCAATTATTTACTCTCTCCTCGAGTTGACCACAAAATTCTTGATTTTTGGATAAATCTTTAAGTTCTTCGACTTGATTGACCTGTTCGAACATATCGCAACCATCATCGAAAACATTAAAATGATCGCAGACTTGTTCACAGACACGTAAGGCGCTACAAAATGATCGAAGTCCAGGTAGCAGTTGTCCCTTTATAAGACCACAACTGACATCTTCCTCTTCGCCTTCTAGGCTGGGAAAGGCCAAAGCTTGCATGAAAACATATTCGATGATGCGTTCGATGGAGGTAACTAGACCGACATTTTTGGCATCGATGATGCCACAGAATCTAAAATGAAAGAGGAATAAAAATTTGTATGACGAAGAATAGAAATAAAATTATATAAATATCATAAGAATAATGTATGTACATTATGGTTATGACTTTTTTACAACCTCGTATATCAGTATCGTATTTTAACAAGTTTTTAAAGTAAAATCCGACACTAATTTCAGACTGTGGGTTCAAATATCCAGTCAGTCATCGATTTTTACTTTTATTAAATATTGAATAAAAGAATAATTTTTATATGTTTTTTCATATTAAAGACATAGGAGCATACAGGGTGAGATGAAAAAATTGCAACCAACTGTTAAAGTTATTCCAGCGACAGATCATTATTTGTTTACAAGCGTACAAAAGCATGTTGGTGAGAATTTCCCAGAAAAAAAATTTCCAGAAAATTCAAGCGTGATAGTGTGATTTATTTAGTGGATATCGTTAGTGGATATCGTTAGTGGATATCGTTAGTGGATATCGTTAGAGCACTCCAGTATTTAAATGTGAATAAATCGTTTGTGCCTCGTACCATTGCTCGTTACCGTGATACTGGTAGTGTAGCTCGACGTCAAGGAAGTGGATGGAAGAAAACAACAACATCAGCAGAAATGGTTCGAAAAGTAATGAAGCGACTTGATCGAAACCCGCGTCGCAGTGGCCGAAAAATGGCTTGTGATCTGAACATATCGCAATATTCCATTCGGCATATATTGAAAAATGAGCTCGGGGAAAAGCCATTGAAATTCCAAAAAGTGCAAGAACTTACACGGCAACAGAGAGTAAATAGACTCAAAAGAGCTAAAGGGTCTCATGCATTAAACTTGAGCTTGAGCTCAGACTCGATTTTTTGATTAAAAGGTGCTTGTCGTATGCATAATAAAATTTGATGTATTTGCTTTTACTCACTGTTCACGTTTGATCTCTTCTTGCTCAGTTTGAACTTAGAAATTGAAGTTGGATGAGATTGTTCTCATTTTCATATGCTTTTGCTTACTTTTGCTTAACTTTTGTTGAGCATGCCTCTTAGTTGATTCGCGTACACTATAAATGAATCATGGCTGAATATTTTGTACCACAAATAAATAAAAAAAACAGCCTTATCAACAGCCTAAGACAAATTTAGCAAGTGAGGATAAAAAATTATATATGTTTGTTATCTTAATTATTATTATTATTTCTTATATAATTAATAATAAAATGATAAATACATAAATTTGATGGTAGCAGCATTTGCTGGTTAGCGAATTATTTTTTTAGGGAGTCAGAAGAAAGGCGTGGTGGTGCCCTCAGCAACATTGATCAAATTCGACTTTATATAAGATTCTGTGCAGATCCTGGATTCCAAAATGGTTAGCCACAGATATTGGAATACATCAATCAACTGTGTGGCGAACAATTGCGGATGTTGCAAAACTTATAACTGGCAAAGCAAGCGAGTGGATAAAATTCGCGAAAGATGCAGATCAAATAAAAGATGGTCAAATGAAATGGCAAGCAAATTATTGCTTTCCATTAGCAATTGGAGTTATTGAATTTTTCTTATTTTTAATGCTTTTTTCAAGTAATTAGTTATTTTCTTTAATTTTTTGTACTAAAAATGTAGATATATTGTCAGTTTCTATTTTATTATTAGTATTTACTACAACTTCTAATTCAATTCTACTTGACGACATGTTAGCACTTCAATAACAATTAGAAGTTTGATCTCAATTTGCTCAAGTAATTGCAATTGGTTTGAACTCATTTTTGTGCATACGAAATTGAGCAAAAGCTGTTGCTGTTCGATCTAACTCAACTTACGAGCAATTGCTTACTTGACTCAACTCATCGCTTTTACTCTTTTTATACCCTTCACCACACTGTGGTACAGGGTATTATGTCTTTGTGCATATGTTTGTAACAGGCAAAAGGAAACGAGATAGACACATGGTTCCTTTTGAGAATATGCATGGAATCACTTTTTAAGTCGATTTATGCATGTCCGTCCGTCTGTCTGTCTGTCCATGTTAAATTGTAAACAAAGTAAAGGTCGCATTTATTATCCGAATTGGATGAAATTTGGCCAAGGACGAACCCTATTGAAATTGGGAAAAATCGGTTCAGATTTAGATATAGCTCCCATATATATATTTAACCGATTTAATGTAAACGGTCCCTATATATCTTTCGATTTGCACGAAATTTGGTACAGCCTAATCATTTAGGTCTAGAATGATGTCTGCCAAGTTCCGTGAAAATCGATCCAGATTTAGATATAGCTCCCATATATAGATTCGTCCGATTTCATGTAAATGGTGCACCAAAGACCCTATATATCTTTCGATTTGCACCAAATTTGGCATTACGTACTGAATTGAGCCTAGAATTATGTCTGCCAAGTTTCGTGAAAATCGGTCCAGATTTAGATATAGCTCCCGTATATAGTTTCGCCGGATTTCATGTAAATTAAGCCTAGAGTGATGTCTGCCAAGTTTTGAGAAAATCGGTTCAGATTTAGATATAGCTCCTGTATATAGTTTCGTCCGATTTCATGTAAATGGTGCACCAAAGTCCCTATATATCCTTCGATTTGCACGAAATTTGGCATTACGTACTTAATTGGGCCTAGAATGATCTTTTGATTTGCACGAAATTTGGCATAACGTACTGAATTAAGCCTAGAGTGATGTCTGCCAAGTTTCGAGAAAATCGGTCCAGATTTAGATTTAGAATTAAGCCTACAATGATGTCTGCCAAGTTTTGAGAAAATCGGTTCAGATTTAGATATACCTTCCATATATAGTTTCGTCCGATTTCATGTAAATGGTGCCCCAAAATCCCTATATATTTTTCGATTTGCACGAAATTTGGCATATCGTACTGAATTAAGCCTATATCTTTCGATTTGCACGAAATTTGGCATAAGGTACTGAATTAAGCCTATAGTGATGTCTGCCAAGTTTCGAGCAAATCGGTTCAGATTTAGATATAGCTCCCATATATATTTTCGTCTGATTTTAGATAAATAGTGCATCAGAGTCCCTACATATCTTTCGATTTGCACGAAATTTGGCATATCGTACTGAATGAAGTATAGAAGTATGTATGATCTGTGTTAAATTTCCTGAAAATCGATACAGATTTAGATATAGCTTCCATATACATTTTCGTCCACATATATCTTTCGTAATGAACTTAGTATAACCTATAAGTTAGATATAAATGCTGCACCGAATTCCCCAGGTGGGTCCGATTGGCGTAAAATTTTGCACAACTTATTGAAGTTATTCCGAGATAAAGTGTGGCAAGTTTTGTTGAAATTGGTTCAGATTTGGATATAGTTCCTATATATAGGTTCGTCAGATTTTAAGTAAAATGTTCACCAAAGACCCAAGTTATATAGTTTATATAACCTATATTGCTTATATACATATTTTCGTCCGATTTGAAGTAAATGGTGCACCAAACTCCTCATGTTTATCAGATGTATATCCAAATAATCAACGGGTATCCGATTGATATATGCTTTAAATTGATTTACATAATTTTGTCCCATTGAAATCAACTCTATATCTGAAATGAAAAAATTAGTATAGTTTGCAGAAATACATGTTTATGGGTCCAATTTCATTTTACTGGTTCTTCAAAAATGCGACGTCTGTTAAGATTCATCTGTTGTATATAGCCAAAGTGGTGAAGGGTATCATATAGTCGGCCCCGTCCGACTTTACTACCACCAAAATCGCCGAATACCAATCCGTTGGACTATTGTGTCTTGAGTATTTTGGAAAGCAAAGTTGGCACTAAAAATACCCACGCAGAGCAGTGTGTGACACACTGCTCTGCGGTATTTTGGTCCACTCCTGGCGAATCGCTTGCTTGAGGTGATCGACACGTGGGTATTTTTAGTGCCAACTTTGCTTTCCAAAATACTCCAGACACAATAGTCCAACGGATTGGTATTCGGCGATTTTGGTGGCCAATGAAATCGTCAAGCGGCCAATGAAATCGTCACACACTGCCCGAATGTTGCTCTGCGGTATTTTGGTCCACTCCTGGCGAATCGCTTGCTTGAGGTGATCGACACGTGGGTATTTTTAGTGCCAACTTTGTGTGACGATTTCATTGGCCGTTTGAAGGCCATAATTCGTACCAAAGGTGACCAATTCGAAAGAATCTAAACTTATTCTAAAATTAAATTCTATTTCGATATTTTTTGCTTTCATTCAATGACATTTAAAACCAGTGAGCGGAGCAGTATAGTCGAACGGGGCCGACCATATGATACCGTCCACAACTAAAACAGCCGCAAACAGGTCTGACCAAATACTTGGTCAGACCCCCTTCACCTTGTAAAATATGTGATGTTCTGCATATAATAATTGCGTCTAGAGCGACTAGAAAATCTGTCAAAATTAAAGTTATTGGTTCTTTGCACCCCCTGAATGAAATCTCAACTTCACCGAAAACTATAGGCGTCGTCCTTGACCATAATCGGAAGTTCTTGTACAATTTCAAAGCTATCAGCGCGACATTTCCGTCCTCTAATGGAGTAATAGTAATACTATGCACATAGTCACCTTTACCTAATTACGTATAACTCCCACATCAGAGTACATGCAGCCATAAGTTTGGTATCAATTTGAAGGTCAACAACTCCTCTTGGATATACTATCAACTTCTCGGATGTATGTCCTTCAGGAGCAAGTATATACGCCCCATAATACAAATTTTGTAATTTTTCACACAAAGGTCAGGGTCCATTTGACCCGCTAAATATTGACCGATCTTTATCAAAACCGGCATGCTTATTCTTTGGCACGATCCTCTTCTCCATGTAAAATTTCACGATGTTCGGACCATAACTGCGGCCTCTGGAGCAACCAGAACAACCGACAAAAATGGAGTATTTGGTCCATTTCATCCCTTAAATATTAACCAATGTTTACAATAGGGGTCTTCATTGGGCCGAACATATCTTCCATGCAAATTTTGGTGAATAACTGTGGCCTGTAACTGTGACCTGTCGATCGAATCAGCTAGTCGAGATATGACGATCGGTATACTTAAAGGTGGGTCTAGGACCAATATTTCGCGGCGTTACAAACTCTTGGGGCTGCACAAAGCTATAATACCCTGACAACATAGTTGTGTAGGGTATAAACATTTAAAAATTATGGCGTTTGACTGTGTTGCAGTTTTTTTATCTCACCCTGTAATGTCCCATCAGGTCTATTTAACAAGTCAGCTATTTTAAACGGTTTAAAATATATTTAACTTCTACATACAGTGATGCCAATTTCTCCATTTCATTTCATTTTACTCACAAATCCTTTTGGAATCCTTCCTCGGGCAATTGTTTATTTGTATTTATGCGAAATATGTAGATGCATATACCGGTAAAGGCACACGACCAACCATCAGTGAGAAAGAGTTTTTTCTGCTTGGCTGGAGCCGAACCACCTGGTGATGTTCCGCCTATATGGAAGAGTAAAAAATCAGTTAAAAAACACATACACATTGACATGATTTCAATTCAAAAAAAGAAATTGTTAATGAAAAATAAACATTACATTTGTTAATATTGAGTAAATAAATAACAGCAAAAATGGCGAGAATTATTTGAGATTTAGCGAAATGTTTGCTATTAAAAAACGGCAAATAAACGAAATTTTATGAACTTTTGACTTTAAGTAGAAATGTTAAAGATTTAAATATTAATATACATGATAATGAATAATAATAGTAACGGACTCAAATAAATTTAGAGGCTGAGAGGGGAGATGAACTAACACCGAAAATTTTCCATCAACATATTTTCTGAAACTGTTTTAATTAATTAATTTAATATAATATAATTAATTTTATAATATCCTGTGAACTAACTATCCGATTTTAACTCAACTGTGCACATCCAAATAATTTAACCAAACCCTTTCACGTTCAAAGAGGGGGTTTATCGGTTCAACAGTGTGAAAATTTGTAAATACAATAACAAAAGAATGGACTGACCGATTTGTTCTAAACTTTGCACATCGTAATATTTTTGCCAAGCCTAGTTCTAGTCCTAGGTAAATAATAAACCCTAAATATTAAGCGAATTATTCCCCCGCTGGTACCACCACAATGTGTCATATAGAGGACCAACTTTGTAGGTGTTTTGAATGTCTTATGCGCACTTTCCAAATGAAGTGAATTTGTAAATGCCATCCCAACCCCGATATAAAGAGCCTATCAATTGTAGATATTATTATAGTCCTAGCCGAATTTTCTAACCTTAGTGCCTGTAATTCGGTATTTGTTTTTCTTAGAGTAAAAAAAAACTTGCTGTTAAACAATTTACAAAGCCAAAGGTGCCGATTAATTATTTCGAATAAATTGACGTAAACCAAGTCACGGACACGACAAATCGGTTTCATGTCAATTTGAAAAGTCTTTATTAACATTAAAACAATGGCAGCTTGTAGTTGTTAGCTCTCAATGAAAATTCAATTCCAAATTACGGGCACTCATGTCGAAAAACTGGGTCAGGAATTCCTTCGCAAAAGGGGCGGGACCTTTCGGCATAGATATATGTCCAAAAACCATTAAGCTTTCGACATATTTACAGCTACTTTCCTAAACCTAGAATGCTAAATAACAGGGTTTAAAAATGCGGCACATATTTTCCAGATAATAATATTTTAGCTCGACAAGTGGGCCTAACGCCAATCTGCAAAACTTTGATAAATTCCAGAGAAACATGATATTTTAAGCTTGCTGGTTGTGGTTGACTTTCCAAATTTTTGCAAGGGTCTTTGAGATCGGTCCGCGGTCTGATATATCGGTCCCGAACGTGCTATAAAATGTCTGCCGAACTCGCCTCTCTGTCCACTGAAATGCGAGATTTCATCTCACGGCAGCGGGACCATCATAACAATGACTTTTTCGGATGTATAGGTAAGTTAAACGCAGCTTTAGACCGATCACTCCAAAATCGACCATTTTTCTTATTGAGCCAAAAAAGAGCATCGTCGCTGAAACAATTTTTCGATAAAAATGTAAATCTTGAGCCAACTTTCCAAGAGCCCATTCATCAAGAAATTCCATGTCAGTGGAGGAGAATTGGATTTTTTTATGTACCATTTGTATGAAACCTATCAAAATTATGTATGTGTGTAAATTTGGACCAACTTGAGCAACCGTGGCATATACCATTTAGTATGCTGTAGCACAGTGCACTGTCCACAATTTTATCTCGTGTAAATCGAACAGACGTAAGCTCCTCGATGAACCATTTACATAAAATCTTCCAAATTTCTATACGATATGTAGATGCACAATTTACTTAAAATTGGACGAAACTATATATGGGAGATATATCTAAATTTGAACCGATTTCGACAAAACTTCGCACACATAAAACTGGGCCTAATCTAGTACTAATCATGTACATCAAGCTAATTAGGTTCAGTTAGGTTAGTACGCTGTGCAAATTTTTGTCTCAATCGGACAAATATTGCAAGTTTGGGGCACAATATACCTAAAATCGGACGAAACTATATGTGGAGCTATATCAAAATCTGCATCAATTACCACAAAACTTTCCATACATTAAACTGGGCCTATTTTAGTACGCTGTGCAAAATCTTTTTTCAATCGGAAAAATATTGGAAGTTTGGTGCATCATTTACCTGAAATCGGACGAAACTATATATGGGAGCTATATCTAAATTTGAACCGATTTCCACAAAGCTTCAATATTGGGAGTTTGGTACATTAATTACACAAAATCGGACAACATTATACATGGGAGCTATATCTAAATCTGAACCAATGTTGTCCAATTAGGGTTCTTCCTTTAGTCAAATAAGTGACCTGTGCCAAATTTTATCCAAATCGGATCATAAATACGACCTGTACTTTGCTCACAAAAATACATAGACAGACGGACGTGCATAAAGGAACCATGGGTCTATATCGATTATGTTTGCCTGTTACAAACATATGCACAAAGACATAATACTCTGTACCACTGTGTGAACAGCAAAATAATTATTTTTACTGCGAATTTTCACCCTTCCAACGAGCATAAATCTGAAATTGTTTGATCGATACTTTACGAGAAATCAATCAGTACAGCCATCTGCGAAAAAATAATGGATTTCTTTTTCCTCAAGCTAATATATATAGAAACAAAAATTTTATCAAGCAAAAACAAAAGTTTCTTCATTTCGAGCAGAGTACGCACTTCGATGTTAGTCCTAATTCAGTACTCACAGCTCACTGAAGTGGGATTGACAAAAGTGTATCTTCAACAGATATCGACCAATATAAAAGAGTTTATAAGTTCGATAAAGAAACCGAAAAATTTTCCGCAACATTGAAAAAGGGAAACATAGTCCTTACTCAATGATGATACATTAATTGAAGTACCTTGAAATATTAAGTGCTATGTGGAACATACATATAACGTAAAGACCCACAAAGTACTTCGGTCTATTATACATCCTAGAGTATTGGTTTACAGTTTTCTATACAATGTATGTCCGTTTGTCTTTAAGGTTATTTCGTTAACGATTTCAAATTTCGACGATTTTTAACAGGATTATTGACTTCCCTCGAAAATGAGCAGAATGATGGACATAGAAAAATATTTCTGGGAAAATCGCATATTTTTTACCAAAAACCAAACTGGAATATAGGGAAGATTTCAACGATTGGATTTATCCAAGTTCATATGATAACTAAGTAGGTCCAGAACAGGGATGCATGCCCTTGCACTCTAGCGGCCAGCTCAACTCACACGGATTCTTACGCTCATTTGTTTAGTCGTCGTTGAGACTTCAACAAGTAAACATATCTATGGTGGCGTGTATTATTTTTCGGCTACGCTTAAGCGGCCCAAACATGTCAAACATGTACGTTTGATCGGTTTGAAGCTCCTAGACCACAAAAGAATTAACAAAACTTTATTTCGAATTTGGTTTTTAAAGATTGAATATGGACAGCGATAGTGACGACGTAAAAAGACCGAACTTTGTTATTTAATTAAATTTTTTTAATCTCATTCACACCGATGGAAGGCACATGTTTGACGTGTGTGGAGCGCTTTAGCTTTGTATACTAGTCTCACAAATACATTTACACATTGCCATCCTCTCACCGTGTGCATCACTGGTCCAGAATTACGTGATCAAATTTGGAACTGAATCAGTGATGCACACGGTGAGAGGATGGTAATTTGTAAATGTATGTGTGAGACTAGCATACAAAGTTAAAGCGGGCCACACACGTTAAACATGAGCTTTCCATCGGTGTGAATTAAATTAAAATAAATAAAATTGATCGGTCTTTTTTGCGTCGTCACTATCGCGGACCATCCTCATATTTTAAAAACCAAAGTTTTGTTGATTCATTTGTGGCATATCAGCTTCACACCGATCAAACGTACATGTTAGACGTGTGTGGTGCGCTTACTTGTTGAAGTCTCAACAACGACTAAACAAATGAGTGTAAGAATCCGTGTGAGTTGAGCTGACCGCTAGAGTGCAAGGGCGTGCATCCCTGAACTGAATCGATTAATTGTGTTTGAGTTATCGTGCCCTCAAATCTTTACACTGTTTTGAGAAAAATACCCTAGTATTGGGAAACTCTCTCGCTGCCACCTGTCGCTTACATAATAAATGGAATATATCCTTCCCTTAACATAAATTGCTACATGATGACCAAATTATGCAAACCTTTGCAAATAGAATTACTTACCTTGAGGCGTCTTCGAAGTACTGGGAGTCATTCCCGAACGAGATGGTCCCGGTTTATTGGGATCCTGAACGGGCTGAGGTTCGGGTTCATCAACCTCTTGGAAAAACCACAATAACTTATTTTTCATATTGGGCAAGAAAAGTTGATTGATTTCATCCAACTACAAGATAAATCGAAACAAGAATATAAACATATTTCGAATTCTTTAAAAGCAAATGTTGTCTCACCATATCACCCTCAAATATATAATCCATCAATTGATGGCGCGGCAATTGGGTGGCATCAATCAGCAGTTGAAAAGTGAACTCCAAACGGGGATCCATCTCCCCACGTCGAGCTTTGCGTTCACATTCTTCACGACGACGCTGTGCTTCGTCAGCGTCAGTAGCCATTTTCGGTTGTAAATTGTGATATCCATTGGTGGGACAAATAAAACAAATAGTTTACAGCAAGGATTTTCAGGAAGTATTGGATGGAATATGGTATCGTATGAGGGAATCGTAGAAATTTGTATTTCAAAAATCAAAAAAGACAATTTCCTTAATATCGAACGGGTGACAAAATTCAAAAAATGTTCGTTCAAAAACAACAACAACAACAGTAGTATTACACAAAGTACAAAATAAATAGCAACTTTGAATAGTATAGGATATAAATAGATGGTAAAATATCTTCAACACCAAGGGATCAAAAATCAATTCCCTTTTTTGGATGAAGATTTCAAAAAATTGAGTGAATGTACAAATTTAGTGTAGAAGGCCAAAGGAAATATTTGACGTATAATTCTTATCAACATTAAATAAAAACTCTTAAACATGATTTTTTTGCGTCTATATTATTGACCTTCCACCATAAAGTGCCAATTAGAAAAATGTGAAATCATGCATAAGGAAATATAGATACATTTTCAAAATGTATTTCAGTGCCACAATTCAAGTCAAATACAAAAATAAAATAGCAGACTTGAATTTTGTTTTATGTTTAGTGTAAGTTAAAATAGGTTTTTGTGTAATTTTTATTAGTGTAGTGTTTAAAAAGTTTGTAAAGCTCTCCATAAGCCTCCGGTGTATTTATAAATCGATACAGCCAATCGATTATTCCAAACCTGGAAATAAATTCCTGGTTTCGGTTTTGTGCCAATTAACAAAAACGAACAACACAAATTCGGAAGATTTTGTACCTTTTTCCAGGAAACGAGCACTATTTCCAGTTTGTTTTTACCTTTTTTACCATTCTTCTGGAAGATTATTTAGAAAATTATTATGTGGAAAACTAAGTTTTGAAACAAACAAAAAATACCCCCGCAAATTAAAACTTAACGGAATTTTCCAAATATATTAAATTTTGATAAACCTTAGGATAAAATTGATAGAGACCTACGATATAATAGTCTGTTTTGCCATTCTTAACATCTTCTAAAGAAAAATCATCCAACAATTAACTCGAGTCATATGTGGAGCGCATTTAACAAAATTTAACATGCGGAATATGGAATGGAAATTTTTATCTAGGAACTCTACATACGGAAAATGGTTAGCAATCTTTCAATGGGGGTTTATGTCAAAGCTTGCCCCTATATTGAAAACATTCGGTAAATATCTTTGCCACCATCGGAATTACAAATAACGGCCTCTTCGGTTTGAAAATGCGGTTAAAATCTTCAAAATACTAAAAAATCTTTAAATGGGGGGTTATGTCAAAGCTTGCCCCTATGTTGAAAACATTCGATAAATATCTTTGCCACCATCTTAGAAATAGGAATTACAAATAACAGCCTCTTCGGTTTGAAAATGCGGTGAAAATCTTCAAAATACTAAAAAATGCCGAAATATAAAGCTATATCAAAACCATGACTTATTTTTGTAGAAGAAGTTGGAATATGCATGACCATCAACATATTAAAAATTGGACTGGTAATGTATATGTAGGCTAATCAGAAATGATTGCAAATACAAATCTGATCAGATTTATATATTTATTGTATCTCCTCAATCGTAGCAAAACGCCATCCTTTCATCGGTGTCTTTAGTTTTGGTAAGAGGAAAAAGTCAGCGGGCCAAGTCCGGTGATTACGGTGGTTGAGGCATCATAACGGGTTTCTTTGGCCTTGTTGCTATAATTCATGGTGCACCTCGGTGAAAGCAGTGATCAAAGCCTTAAAGTTAGGCCGATATTGGCGGCCTTGGCTCCTCTAAACGTTTCCATACACCGATGATTCGTCACCAGTTATAAAAAATAGCAATTTTTATAACAATCTTTTCTGCCGCACATCTTTTCCGAATCATGATTTCCCGGAGTAAACATGTACACCATTTCTTTAATCCATTTGACCACCTAAATATTGACCGATCATTAACAGTAATTCTTATCAGTTGGTCAGATCCTCTAACTCGCGTAACATTTGTGATGTTCGGCTTATAATGGTGGTCTCTAGAGAAAACCAGGCAAAAATAAAATTTTCCGCTCATTTCATTTCCTAACTATCATCTGATCACCACCGAAAAGTATAGGCTTCGACCTTGACTATAAACGGAACATTGGGAAAATTACATAGCCATTAGCACGACATGTAAATATGTAAATATATACGCCACATACTGCATATGTGGCCATTTTTCACAAAACAGACTTGATCAATTTGACCCGCTAAATATTGATCGATCTTTATGCTTAATCTTTGGCTAAATCCCTTCCCCATAAAAATTTTTTGGTATTCGAGTCATAATAGTAGCCTGTAGAGCGACCAGAAAAACCAAACGATAGATCCATACCTCTACTCAGCTATTCGTGATATGATCGGTATACCTAAAAGTAGGTATATGACTAACCGGAGCAATCTATTATAATTTTAGAAAGTTAGAGGTTAAACAGTTTCGAAGAACTTCCTGCTTAACTCTTCAAGACACCTTTTTTCTTCTGAATTGAAAATACGACGGACGTTCAATATAAGTTGATTTCTTTATATCCTGGAACAGCACGACATGGTAAATGGTATCGAAAAAAAACCAAGAGTCACGATAACAGTTCGGATTCACGTTTTGTTTAGATTCAGTCCCCTTAAAATATGTGTGGAAATTAAAACGGGAAACTGCTTCTTGGCATACTTTCGTATCGGGACCTTTTTACTTTCCAGGATTCAGGAACTTGGTGGGTGGCTAATGACAAGTTAAGAAGATATGTTTCAAAGATTACGATGTCGTACTTATTTTGTAATTTGTATTTGCTCGATTTACTTTTTCCGGCAACGCTTCAGGTGGTTTAGCAGCGTTTTCTGTTTGTGCTCACTTACTAGCCTGTTGACTTCAAGAGTAAGTTCTCTGGCCATTGGCTCTCATGACATCATACGACGACAGTAATGAAGATTTTAGAGTAGAGGTAAAAAAGTTCGGGAGATATGAACCCACCTTGAAGAATTAAGTGTTTCACTGTACGGGGTTTAGATTTTTTTTTAATTTTACAGGCATATAATTGATTTCCAACATTTCAAACTAGGCCGGAGTTTGGTCATCTTTATGTCCTCGAACAGGTCTGCATGGTTTATAGTACCGAATGCCTTTGATAAGTCAAGATCCACCTGTTCTGTCGAACTGTTTGTTCTTGTCAAGCTCTCTTCTTATAGATGTTGCGTGTAATACCGTTGCATCTTCCGAAATCCGAAATCAAGTGTTTTTGCTACTGGAGACAGCAGTGATACATTATTTCATTTCCATTGAGATTCCATCTGGTCATAAGGCTTTGGGTGTCTTGGCGTTTCGAATAACATCTGCAACATCATCTTTCGTTAATTGTGGTGGTACGTCCTCAGCTCGGAGAACTCTTATATGATCTGGTTAAGTCTTCGTCTTATATATGTGGCGTGTAATGCTGTTGATGTGCTTTGCATCTTCCGAAATCCGTATTTGCTACTGGGGACAGCAGTGAAATCGTCCTGTATGATTTACCTCTGCCGGTCCCTTGCTTCAGTAGCAGCACATTTTCAACAATACTTTACTCCAGGTTCATTCATTTGCTTAAACATTTCCATTGAGATTCCATCTGGTCATAAGGCTTTGGGTGATTTAGAGTTTCGAATAATATCTGCAACGTCATCCTTCGTAAATAGTGGTGGTACGTCCTCGGTTCGTAGGACTCTTATACGACAAAGCATACTTCTGTTTGCCTTGTCATTCTCGGACTGATCTGTGAACAGCGGGTTAAAATAACACGCACACCTCTTTAAATCTGTAACTGTAACGTCGCTATATTTGACGACCTTTTTTTCTGGATTCGAGATTCGTTGCCCACAATTTACTTGTTTCGGATCCAATCTTGCAAAGCTTCTCCTCTACTTCCCGTTGGGACATTCTCATTAACCGTGCAATTTGTTCGCCAGCGCTGTACTCCTCTGGGCGTCAGCCTTCATAACTTCTTCGGCACATTTTACATTGAGAATACGTAGAAAAGCAATCAGACTCGGTACTGTATAATCCACACTTTTGCTAGAACCCATTCTCTATCTTAACTAATTATTGAGATTAAAACCAGTTGAGATTACAGTTTTCAGGTGTCAATTTTGCCAGACGTATCCGATCACATTATCGAACTTCGTTTAAAGGTGCGTTGTACAATTTACTACAATAAAAAATCATTTATCCGGTTTTGTATTCTTTGCTCAACTTTCTTCATTGTGCCCACTTTATGCCGAATCTGAGGCACACACACAAAACCTCGCAATATACAACAGAGGCCTTCGGCGATTTTGCCACATCGGTCATTCTGTGGAAATCACTCACACTCATTCAACAAATATCCTACGATTGGTATTGAATCCCGTTAACTTGTCTATGGACTATAACATGGTAGCTTCGTGCCTAAGAGAGTAAAACTTTTAATTAATTATCGATCCCATTTTAGGTATTTTGAAAGTCCTCTTCGCATTTTCAGACCGAGGTAGCTGTAATTTATCATTTGGGGTTGTCGAAGGATGGCATAACTTTTCACTAAAAAAATGGTTACATATTTCAATTTTGTCTCCATATGAAATCCACGCAAGTTTTTAGATAGAAGGTCCTATCCACATTTTTCAAACGAGGGCAGTAAAGTATGAAGTTATGCTACCCCCTTCCGATGTAATAGAACCGACGGAATTTACTTTTCGGTAACTACACAAACTCTTCTTCAAACACCTATTTTTTTGCTCATTTCGTAATATATTATAATTTATTATATTAATTTCCATATATTATTAATTTTCACGACAACAGTCGTTATTTCCATTTAATTTTCCACATATGGAAGCATTTCCTTCATTTCGTTATTAAACCTTCTGTTAGTACCTTTGTGTCAAATAAACAACTTACTTCACTCAAACAACATCACACTTCCACACAAACCCAAACATGCAATCACACTCCTTCAAACATTTTCATCCTTCAA